CCCATCTACTTACCCAGATTTATCTCTTCTTAGCTTCTCGTCATTTTGGCTGTGATTATTCTCTCACTCTGGTTTTAACACAAATGGCTTTATTTGGGAAATTGGTTGCGGCTGATCAAGGGGAGAAACGATCCAAACCATTGCAGCTTCCTCCGATCAATAACGCACAAGTCTTTGATGAGAGAATGTTGGTGGGAAGAGTACTCAATCCTGAGATCCAGGAGAGTCTTGTGAAGGCTCTGGTTGCTTTCTTATCGTCTATGTGGAAGTGTGAGGGTCGTGTGCACGGGATAGAGATGGAAAGAGGAAGGTTCCACTTCCGGTGTGAGGAGGAATGTGTCCTTCAATCGGTTCTTGATAATAGGCCATACCCCTTTGATGGATGATTGTCATTTGAACGTTGGATGCCAACGGTGAGGAGGGATTTTCCGAGTACAATCCCCTTTTGGGTTAAGATCATGAATCTTCCTGGCCAGTACTGCGAAGACGATCAAGTGGAGAGCATAGGACTTTGGTGAACTTATGAACTGGAAGGTTATCGAACCTTTCCCCATGGTCGGAGATACGCAGACATCTCTTGCAATAGTTTTGGGTGAACTTACACACTCTTGTGTCGTGCCCTTCAAACAGACACAAGATTACGATCATGCTCCTTCCTTCTTCCTCTACTTTTTTTTCTCATGTTTTTTGAAGTTTTTGTTTTGTGTGTTTGATTGTAATCTTTTGGATGCAGGTGTTTATAATAAATAGATAGCTTTATGAAATTTGCATTTAACTGATTTCACCTAATCCCACTCATCGTACTTTTTTTTTCACCATATGGAATATCTCTCTAAATATAAAAGTCTCATCATCTATAATTTACTTAACGCACTCGGTTAATTCATGTGGCATACGGTAAAATAAATATATTGTTCATATTAAATTTATATCATCTCTGTCTAATGTATCGATTTACTTAAACCAAGTAAAATTAAAATATGTCATGAAATAATTATTAACAAATTCTCTAGTCACTTTTTTTTTTGTCTTTCCACTGGTCACTTAATTTACACATATTGATAATTGTGCTCTTTATATGATTGGTTAAGTTTCTTTATGTATAATCAGCATCTGAGAGAATTTTTTACCAACTCCAAAAATTATTTTGATTAACTTGTTTGGTAAGCTGTTTTGCGATCAGAAGAGTTGTTCTACCATCCAAAGTTGTTTCTGATGCACTTGCCCTTTCTCGAAAAAGGCATTATCAATTTTGGATTGTTTTGCATTCTATCTACTAGAAGAACTATGTAACCTTACTTCGGTTGACAACAATAAGTTCTAGGTTTAGAAGATGCATTCTGATCTTCACTTCACAATACATCATAACACAGTGAAGTTTGATTTTGCTATACTACCACTACAAGAAAACACAGTTTTAGCGTCGGCAAAATTCGATGCTAAATCTTTAGCATCGATTTAGCATCAAATCACAATTCGACGCTAATATGTCGACGCTAAACAGACTTCGACGCTAATTCGACGCTAATTTAGCGTCGAATACAATTCGACGCTAATTCGATGCCATATTTCGATGATTTAGCATCGAATTAGCATCGACATAAGACGGATCCGATGCTAAATCGACGCTATTTTAGCATTGGAAAAATCGACGCTAAAACGATGCTATATTTCGATGCTAATTCGACGCTAAATTAGCATCGAAATTGCATCGACAGGTTTTGACGCTAAATTAGCGTCGAATTAGCATCGAATCCGTCATTGGTCGATGCTAAATCGACGCTAATATAGCGTCGAATTA